CCTCCTCCTCCTCATCATCATCATCATCTCTCTCCTCCTCCCCCTCCCTTCTTCTTCTCTCCTCCTCCTCCTCCTCCTCCTTTCTCCTCCTCCTCCTCCTTTCTCCTCCTCCTCCTCCTCCTCTTCCTCCTCCTTCGTTATCTTTTTTTTTTTTTCCTTCTTTTTTTTTCCCGTCAAAGCAACTCAAAATCGGCAGGTCCTCCTCCTCCTCCTCTTCATCATCATCATCTCTCTCCTCCTCCCCCTCCCTCCTTCTTCTCTCCTCCTCCTCCTCCTCCTCCTCTCCTCCTCCTCCTCCTTTCTCCTCCTCCTCCTCCTCCTCCTCCTGTTTTTTTTGTTCGACCTTTTCTCGATTTGTGTTTGTCATCCTTGCGCGGGGGTCATGCTGATCTAGAGGGGCCTTTAGGGCTTGATGCGCAGGGGCCGTTAGGGCTTGATGTACAGGTCATCATGTGCAAGTCATCATGTCGACCGCCATTTTGATGTTATTGCTGCGTGCAGGCCCCCTTTTTTTGCCTGTCTTTCTTCGTATTAATTTTGTCTGTTATTGCTGCGTGCAGGTCATCATGTTGAGCCACAAGTATGAAGCCAGCCTTGTCAAGCGCCATTTTGACGTCCTTGGCCCCGCGGGCAAGGATCATTCGAAGGGGGGAAGTGGTGGGTCTGCCATTACTGCGATCTAAAATTTTCGGGCAATCTCAATAGCCTGAAGGAACATTTCACAAAGGGGATTTGTGCAGTTGAGAAATCAATGAAAACATTGACCGCAGAGGAAATCTTGAGAAGGAAGGAAGGATTGCGGCAGGCAAGGACAGATTCGGGCATGGCGAGGGACGGTGCCAATGCCCTACGTGCTGTCACCAATTTGGTGGCTGCTTCTACGGGCGGGCGTTTGGTCGAAGGGGTGGGTGACCCTTGTGGCGAAGCAGCGGGCGTCGCTTGTGGCGAAGAGGTGGGTTGCAGCGGGCCAGGTATCACGGTGCAGCGCACAGGTGCATCTGCTGCACCTGCTGCACGGATGCGACAGATGTTGTTGGAGGAGACCGACAGCGTCGTCACAAAGAATGAGCAGACGTCAAGAAGGGTAGACCGCTGGATGATGTGCACGAACCAACCATTCAACATGGTTGAGAACAAGTTCTTCAACGACATGGTGGACGCCAGAGGCCCACCCATCATGGAGACTGCACTCGAGAGAGGCGGCGCGCAATGGCCGATTAAACGGACAGCACCAGAGGGCGATCGAGGACGTTGGGAGATTGGCGAAGAAGTGGGATCGCACCCGCTGTATGGTGCAAGTAGATGGGTGGTCTGACCGGCGGGGAAGACCACACGTAAACGTCATGGTGTCCTCTCCCATCGGCACCGTCTTTTGGAAGTCGGTGTGCRTAGCGGGAAAGGACAAAGACGCYTGTGCATACTACAGAATACTCTCCACTGCGATTGAGGAGATTGGCCCAAGAAGCGTGGTCGGGGTGATCATGGATAATGCCCGGGTTTGTGTGAAGGCCGGGAAGTCGGTGGAGAAAAAATACCCATGGATATTCCGGGTGGGTTGCACGACGCATGCCCTTGACCTCGCGTTGGAGGACATGGACAAGCGCATTCCGTGGTTTGCGGAGACTGTGAAGAGGGGGAATGTGTTGGGGAAGTTCGTGATGAACCACGACAAGGTTCGAGCACTCTTCCTGACCAAATCGGGTGGTGCCGAGATTAAGAGGCCAGGCGTCACTCGATTCGCGACCAACATCATCATGTTGCAGTCGCTGTGGGACAGGGTAAATGCCCTGAAATTGACTGTGGCTACCAGCGGGTGGGTCTCCTCCCTGGTGCCGCCCCACCTGCGTTCTCAATTCGAGGAGGTGACGGCGACTATCTTGGATGGCGGCTTTTGGGAGCGGGTGGACAACGCCTTGAGGACCACGGAGCCCATCGTCAAGCTACTGAAGCTCGTCGATGGTCCGGGTGCAACAATCGCCAAGGTTTATCATCGAATGGATGGTGTGGTGGAGTCGATTCGCAAGTTGGACATCTTGGCAGACTTCGAGAAGGCAGAGGTCGAGTCGATCCTCATGGATCGATGGGCGTTCATGACTTCAGAGCTGCATTGTGCAGCAGCCTTCTTGGACCCGGAGTACAGAACGCAGGGCTCCTTCAAAGACACTGAGATCCGAGCCGGGTTGAACATATGGTTGTATACCTGGTGCACAGACGAGATGTTCGATGATGTGAGCTGGCAGGTTGACGAGTGGGTGCACTTGAAGGGGGCCTTGCAATCAGAGGAAGCTTTGCGCGCAGCACGCACCAAGACCCCGGCGATGTGGTGGGATGCGTTTGCATCGTGGCTGCATCTTTTGCAGCCCCAAGCGATCGGACTATTGGGCCAGGCAAGCTCATCCGCGGCATGCGGATGCAACTGGAGTCTGCATGAGCTCATTTTTGGCAGGAGGAGGACGAGGATTCTGCCCACCCGCCTATCAAAGCTCGTCTACAACAATTGGAACCTCCACCTGTAGTGGAGGCAAGAGCGCGGCCGTGGTGTGGATGATGTCCACATTCCGTGGGTGGAGGAAATGCCGGACGCCGAGTTGAAGGAGGAGGCAGAGCAGTTCTACAATGATTGGGTGAAATGAGTGAAGAACAGCATGCCGAGTGGCGAGAATGACACGTCGGACGATGAAGGCGAGTTGGAGGACGACGACGATGGCGAGGAAGTGCCTATGGCAAGGAGGTGGTTGCGCAATGACGAGGTGGACAATGCAATGGACCAGGAGGAGGGCCTTGCGCACATAGATAAGTACACGAACGACTAGCACTTCAACACTCGACCGGGGAGGCAGCTGGAGCGTGCCTTGCGGAGGTTGTCGGGCCATGAGCGCCCAGCACGTGAAGTGCAGTATAACAAGGAGGACCGGGAGCTTGCGCTGCGGGCTCGAGAGACGGGTGATTGGGTGGAGGGTCGAAAGGAAGGCGGAAGCAGCAGGCAACGTAAAGTGCGGCGCGGTGATGAGTGTCGCCGTCACGGTAAACGTGCTGCGGAGGAGGTCATTGAACCTCTGGGGAAACGGAAGAGAGGACGGCCGACCAACAAAGAGGCCGCAGCAAGAAAAGCAGCAATGCGAGCGGAGAAGAAAAAGCAGCGTTGGAAGCATCGAGAAAAAAAAAATCCAAGGGAAAGAAAAAAGCAGCAGCAAAAGCAAGAAAGAGGGACGACATCATCGACGATGACGGCACAGAAGCATGTTCATCGTCTTCAGCTTCATCAGAGGAAGGGGATGATGAAGGTCATGATGCCAACGATGGAGAACCGCGGAGTGTAGAGGAGGGAACTGAGCACGAGGAGGAGGAAGAGGAAGCCGAGGAGGAAGAGGAAGGTGAGGAGGAAGAGGAAGGCGAGGAGGAAGAGGAAGGCGAGGAGGAAGAGGCAAATCTCAATTCCGTCTTTCCTCCCTTAGTAGTCTCTACAACTTTCTTGAAGGCTTTAATTTGCCCGTCCTCATCCTCGAGTTTACCAAGGGCTTTTATCATTTTCAAAACCTGATTGATTCCCACTGAAAATCTCTTCTTTTGCTTCTCGTTTTCCTTCCTCCTTTAGTCTCCTAACCCTTTCAGCAGATTCTTCCCTCCTGATCGAATTAGCAGATAGTTGATGCTTGAAGTCATTTTTCGTACTGACCATAAAGGTCTGCTCTTGAGCAGTCTCAGGATCCTGTAGACTGATCCAAGATGACCCCTCATGATTGAAAAATTGGACTGCCTCCATCCTATGCAGGAATGAAGTTCCCAAGATACAGTCATGATCCAGATCCGGCACTACAAAACCCAGTAACTCCACAACCATTGTCCTAACCCTGATAGGCAAATTATCAATAAATCCAATCACGAACAGCTCTCCTACCATATTACTCAGTACATTTTTTGCAGGTCTATCAATAGATAAATTACATGCTTCCATCGTTCTTCGTGAAAGAAGTATCATCTCTGCCCCAGAATCTACTAGGGCTAGAATCTTCACTTGATTAATGCGAATTGTAAGGTGCCCACAACCCATGGTTGCGAATCTCATCTTGCAACCTGATAGTGATCTATTCACTTGGTTAGGAAAGACTGACCCCAATAATTAACTTCCAATTTCTTCTTCTCAATTAACTTCTTCAATTTTTCTCTTAGTTTGGGCGCTAGCATCATTGCTTCCTTGAAAGACAGTGTCACTTCCGTTTCTTCCAACATTTTAGCAATTATATCAGAAATCACAGTCTCATCATCCAGATCACTCTTGAGAATAAATTTTATCTTTCTCTCCTGCTCATTCTTTTATTGCGGACGTTCCTATTCAGGGTCATCAAGGATGTTAATAAGTGACTCCTCAGCCTTCTTTCTTTTATTTTCTTCTATCATTTGAGGTGTCATACGGGTTTGGTGGTTCCTCACTTCACCAACCCTGATACTGGGTTCCATGATAAGTGCTGGGGGTAAATCACCATGGAACGACATCATGTTAGCTAGGAGATGAACCATTTCATTGGGAGAGGACTCTACTAATTCAAAAAGATTATGAGAAATAGGATTCCCTCCCAATGGAGACTCACTTGTAGATGCCTCGCTAGGCTCACACTCTGTCAGTGTTAAGGACTGCAGAGGCAACTCAATCATGGTATAAGGGTCACTTGCTCTTTGTACTAGCTCATTAGGCAAGTCTCCAAAGAGGAAATGAACATTCACATTGGCCTTTTTCTTCTTCTTAATCTTAATCTTTTCATCATGTTTAAGAGCAAGAAGCCTCATACCTCCCGGATGTCTAGGATCCAACTTATTCCATGAACTATCACAAACATGACACATTGCATCTTTCTTTGCCACCCCACTCCTTACATCCTCCTCAAGAGGCTTGCAATAAGTGGTAGTATGACCCCCTTCGCCACAATAGTAGCAAGTAAAACTCCTCTTAGGAGGCTCATGATATTTTATTATCTCTCTGTTTCCTCCATCATCATCCTTCCCATTCCTTTTGGGTCTAGATGAATCCCTCTTCTTACCATAACTTCCATTGTCATCATTATCATCTTCATCTTCCTCACTTTCAACCTTTTTTTTTCCCTTGTCATCCACAGCATGCGTTGCAGGCCTTGCAGGCATAAAGTTTGCCATCACTTTTTGAAGAATATTCTCAGCAGTCAGATTGCTTCCTCTATTCATTTCATTCTCAGTCTCCCAGTCCTTGGCCAAAGTACTGATCTGATCCAGTGACCATTTCTTATGAGAGACAGTAGGTAAAGTTCTTATGATTGCAACCATTTCATCCCATCTGAGAGGATAGTGCTGAGCTTGATTAAGGACTGCTTGCCTTTCAATGTCAGTAAAATTTGTCAAAAATATATGGCATCTTTGAGCTTCATCCAAATATGAAATTCTTCTTGCCGTTCGGATAAAGGTCTGAAGAAAAACGTTGAAAGTGTCATATTTTGCTCTTCTGATGTTGAGTAAATCCTTAGTTGTTGTTGGAACTGAATCTTTCTCGAATTTATTTTTCAGTCTCTCCTTGACCTCTTCCCAGGTAGTGGCCCCTTCCATCAATTATTGGACTGCCAATCTTGAGTCAGTATCACAATAAGATAGAAGATGCTTAAGCCGTTGCTTATCTGTCCAGCCATAACTCAGACCGAATAATTCATATTCATCCAGGAAATCATTAACCTGGGGTCCTCTGAAGCAGGGAATTCTCTCATCTGGCCTCTTTGCTCTTGCAATGTCTGACCCTCCTTTTATAGTATCAACTATTTCAACCAACTCCCGTATAACTCCAACCAAAGCCTCTTCATTGGTCCTCGCTGATGTACTAGGCCTTCCTCGCCCTGCCATCTTGACCATAAATTTTTCCCGGATATTTTATTCTCTTCTTGTCACGCTTATCCTTTTTTTCTCTGCCCTTCAATCTCTCACTCTTCTCGCAAGGGATACAGGCTCGTTTCTCTCTTCTCTTGTCTGCTCTACCCCTTGAGAGTTTTGTACATATAGGGTATAAGCAATAATTGATTGGGTAGTGATCAAGGGCAGTGCAATCCTTCTCAGCCTCCCAATGTAATCTTCAATCAACTCTCTCTCATCATCCCTACTTAGTCTTCTGTCATATCCCTTTAAAGTACCCCGAATCATAAAATATCGAGTCAGGTCTATAATCTCGTAATCAAATTGCATCGTTTACAGCCCACTATTGATCCTTCTTGCAAGAGCGACTCGTTCCTGAAAAGTGTGATATGATACTCTCTCAGCAGTTCCCACTTTCACCACCTTAAACAGATAGTTTATCTCAGTTTGGTCAGTGATAATTCTCAGAGCAGAATCTCTCATGCGATCTAAGAAAGGCTGCAAGAACTCAAGCTCATCCAGGGTAGATAGATTCCTCTCAGAGACCCGAAGAGTCCCTTCTACCTTGACTATTCTACCTTCCAACACAACTCCAGTGTCAGCTGTTCAGTCAAGCTGGGCATTGTTAAACATCATAAATAATATCTGAAAGGTAGATCTCAGGTTGGACATAATCAGAGATCTTGAATCTGTGTTCAAAGGCATTGAAAAGTAGGGATTTTATCATCACAGTTGAGTCTTTTTCTCTTGCTCTACCAATCTCAGCAATAGCTTCCAACAGAGGCATCCAATCTCTCATGCCTTCAAATCCCTCAGCAATTGAGAACTCAGGATGCCTATCAAATTATCTTACTTCTTTCCCCCAGGTTACTTTTCTCCTTAACTTTTCAAGTCACTCCTTGGTTCTTATGAGACTAATATAAGTATCTGTCTGACACTTCAAGTAGTCATCCTCCTTTTCTAGGCCTGCTGGTATATAAATCCATACATCCAGGTTGCCAGTACTCAGGAATTTGACCACTGGGATGTGAAATATTATGGGCCCTCTCTCACAAGTCTCATATCTCAGGATTACAAAAGGATTATCACACCCTATCAACTCATAGAGTTAACCCCTCACAGTAGTATCCTGGCCACTGAGAGACTCTCTTCACTTTCCATGCAAACTTTATCATGGCATACCAATTGTATCTTGGAAATGTGAGTCCCTCAACAGGTGGAGACGGTATTCCAACAAAAGGTCTGACATAGGTGCTAAAGGAGAAATTTCTTCCCTCTCGCCCTAATTTTCTCTTCTCATCATGCACAAGATTCGACGCTCGTTGCCAACACGCACCTTTTCGGCTTTCGTCAAATCTTTGCTTCGGCACATAAATCCCAATATCATATTCATCAAGATCAATAAAATAGCATGTAAGAACATACAGACTGTCATGTTCTTGTCCCGATCTCTTTATGGCTTCATACCTCACGATTTCATAAGGAATTACAACCTTACACGCTATAGAATTAAGAGAATTCAACAGCTTTTCTGATTCAGCCTTACTCAGCCCTTCATGGCCTCTTATCAGTCTAAGTTTAGATCTCTCTCTCAAGGGTACATAGCGTCGACTCATCAGACTCTTTGACCTCTTTTCACTCTCTGGGCAAACTCAATCACCGCAAATCAATCATCGTTTGATAAATTTTTATCAGGGAAGGGAGGAGCTGGAAATCCCCCGAAGATAGCAAATCGAGTAGATCCGGTGAAAATCTTGTTCTTTTTCTCAAGCCTCTCTCTCTCTTTCAATACAACTTCTTCAGCAAATCCCCAACATCTCCCATATACTGCATCAGTACTTTTTTCCTTTGGGATATAAATTCTTACGTCATACACATCCGAGTCGGCGAAATAGAATGTCAGTAGATATAATCGTTCCTGCTCCCATCCGCTCTCGACCATCTCATACCTGACAACTTCATATGGAAATGCCTCTCTCTTGCTTAGAATATTCAACGACCTTAGGAGACATTCAACCTTCTCTTGACTTGGACCCGAACCTCTGCCAAAATTTGACCTTTTTTGTCTGATTACTTCTGCTGAAATCTCTTCAGCCCTCATGACCACTGTTTCTTTTCTCCCTTGTCAATACCATGTTGGTTATTGGCAGCCAGTTAGTCTCATCACAATAGTTGTCAGGTATAGGAGGGATTGGAACWGKCKYSTWKRTKMMSGWMMYTMKA